CCCCCCCCCAGCTGGGTGTTGCCTGCCCAACTTGGAGTTCTCAGGGTGGCCCGAGGGCAGTGGACCCAGCGGGGATTCCCTGGCAAGTCCTACCACATGCTCTTCACCGTCTCACGACTAGTCAATACCAGAACCAAGCCCCGCTGTCCCTGCGTGGCAAGGTGGAGGGTCCCCAATATCCTAGTGTCTTAAAAAGGGGTTGAGAAAATGCGGCATAAAATCATACCCCGTAATGGAGGAACAGAACAGCAGACAAAAGCGAGCCCCATGGTCTCCCTTTACAGGGCTGTGCACCAAGGCCCAGAGAGGGGAAGGGACTTACTCAAGGCCACACAGCAAACCAGTGGCAGAGCTTAGGATGAAACTTCATCTCCCGAGTCCCACTGCAGGGAATCTGCTGTCAAAACTATTTACAAAGACAGCAAATCTGAGTGGGAGGGGGATTCCCTACCTGCAGGGGCACCGAGGCGGAAGTCACCCCGGAGACCTCCTGGGGCCCCTGATCTGGTTATGTTTGATATCCGCCCACACTTCTGGAACCTACAGGGAACATGTGAGCACCTGGAGAGGCTCCTCAGAAGGCAGAATCCTGCTCCAGACCTGTGGGAACCCAGGAGGGGTCACCTCGCCTCGGGAGCCTGGGGAAGAAACGGGCCTGGGAAATTGACAAGAAGACGTGTGTGTGTGTGTATGTGTGTGTGCGCGCGCGCGCGCGCGTGCACATGAATCACCCAGCAGGCTGTGAGTGTTCGTTAGGAATGCAAGGGTCCCGCACGGACGCAGTCACAGTGCTCACCCTCAGCCCCTCTGGCCCCTGGCTTGGCCCAGAGGAAGCCCAAGGCCCGTCACAGGTGACACCCCACCACCACCCATGCAGCTGAGCCCCCCGGGGCAGGCAGCTGAGGGCAAGTGCGACAGCTCAGGGCAGCACCTCTCACTCCCAGGACACGGTTCAGAGCAGCTCAGCGGCACTGTCCCCCCTCAGAGGGACCAGAGCTGCCACGGCCCAAGCCCTGAGCTCGTCAGCACTTTCAAATATCAACATGCTAAGTGGGCCCTTCCCCTCGATGCTGGAAGAACGGCGGCTTGGTATTCACTTCACTGACATCCAGGAAGACTGAGTTGCTTGTCTAAAGCCTCAGTCATTCATGGAGTCATTCACTTGACATATTTTTACCAAGCGCCTGCCGTGCTGTACATCGGCACCACCAAGAGCCAGGCAGGTGTATTTTGCCCTGGGGGTCCTCCTGGCCACAAGAAGCATTGTGGTGGTTCGCACACAACCTCTGGAGCCACACCGCTGGGATTCAAATCCCAGGTTCACCCCCATATGACTCTGGGGAGTCACGTAACCTCTCTGGGCCTCGGTTTCCTCTGTCAGTGGACGATAATAATGGTATCTACCCCATGGGGTTGGTCTGAAGATTGAGTGAAATGTTACAGGTCGACACGTGGAATAGCACCAGGCACATAGTAAGTGCTCAATAAATACGAAGTCATTCATGACCCAGGACCCAAGCCCACATCAGCCACGCTCGTAATTCAGAGCTAGGCCAGCTCAGTGCCTTTGGTGTGACCCAAAAGCGTGACTGGTAAGGGTTCTACAGCTAGAATCAGGAGGTGGGGTTCGAGTTTCCCCTCTGCCAGCTGCCAGCTCAGAGCAGCCCCCGGGCCTCTCCGAGCCTTGCTTTCTCCGGTCTTAAAATGGGCCCGATGATGGCTGTTCTCCTGCCTCCCTGGCAGGAGCACCCAACGTCCCGAGGGTTGCTGTGGCCCCCTGCCCACACCCCACAGGACAGGCTCAGAGAGCAAGCCCCCGCCCCAGCGGGACAGATGGCCACAGCTGACGCAGCCACACTCTGTCCCCCTGCACCTCTAGCGACGGAGAGGGTTTGTGCCTGGTGCTGGGGAAGGGCCGGGCCCCGGGCCAGCTACGGTGCTTCTCGCTTCTTAGGAAATAATCCCAACCCTCTGTGCTCACTGACCGCACATGCCACTGACCGAAGGGGAAGAGGTCAAGCAGGCCTGCCCAGCTAGGCACCTTCTGCCAAGACTGTCACATTGGGTGGCCTCACGAAAAAGAACTGAACAAGAAGCCAGACAGCCTGGGTATAGTCTCAACTCCAGCGGCGGCTACCTGTGCGGCTTTGGGAAAGTCACTTAACCTCTCTGAGCCTCGGTGTCTGCATCCGTGAAATGGCCTTGGCCGGGCTACCCGTTTCACGGGTGGCTGTGACGAGCTGATTAGATGATGGCATCGGAGGTGGTTTAGACCTTGAAGGCTGGGGAGGAGGTGAGGAAAAAGCAAACGCGCCATATTTCCAACGCTAAGTATAAATCACCTGCAGAGATTTGCCCTGGGAGCTGAAAGGCAGACCCATGCCTGGACCAGCCAGTGTGGCCCAGAGGGGCCCCAGGGCTCTCCGGGGAGAGGCTGGCCCCAAGCTGCTTTCTTCTCCTGCCCACCCTGCAGGCTAAGGGAGATCAAATCCCCAGCCACAACGGGCCCCATTGAGAGCCGGTAAATCTGCCCGAGGTGTGGGGTTACGTTACCAGGCTCCCGGCCACCACCACTGAGCGAAGGGTCAGGCTGACCTCCTTCCCTCCCCGTAGGCCCCGGTCCAGGACCTGCAGGGCCAAGCTGGGAAGAAATCCAATTACCCGCTGCATTCCCAGGCAGCAGCCTCCTCTGGGAAATCAGCGAGTGGACAGGGGGATGAGACCTTTGCAAAGGCTGGAGTCATCCCAGGCTGCCCACCGGGAGCACAGGCCCCCGTCCGCAGGGGTGAGGAACGCAGCTATACAGGCGAGACCTCGGGATAGAGCACTGTTGGGATTTTGCTGGGTGCCTGACACAACACTTTGCGTTTTACCTGTGTTCGCCTCTTTGTCCTCACAGAAGCCCCGTGACGCAGATGCAATTGTCACCTCTATTTTACAGAGGCTGGAACTGAGGCACAGAGAGGTGAAGGAGATTTCCCAGAACCACCAAGATTTGAAGGCCACCAAGAGCCCACTTGCCACAACAGCCACCCAAGAGACGGGTCACTCAAAAACGCGTCCTTTGAGTAAGGGTAGAAAAACCCAAGTGTGAAGGAGAAAAGTGTCCAGGGCCCGTGGCTACCGTCGGCAGCTCTCTGGGGACTTGGCAGGGGACAGGAGAGCAGCCCTTTCCCCCGGCTCTAAAGAAGAGACACGGGAATAGTTTGGGAACTACAGGGTGACATTTGGTTCTGTGCAAAGTCTCAGTGGACAGACTTTAAATATCGTGCAATAAGCATTTAAAAAATGCAACAGGCGGGGCGCCTGGGTGGCTCAGTCGGTTAAGCGGCCGACTTCGGCGCAGGTCATGATCTCGCGTCCGTGAGTTCGAGCCCCGCGCCGGGCTCTGTGCTGACGGCTCGGAGCCTGGAGCCTGCTTCCGATTCTGTGTCTCCCTCTCTCTGACCCTCCCCTGTTCATGCTCTGTCTCTCCCTGTCTCAAAAATAAATAAAACGTTAAAAAAAAATTTTTTTTAAATGCAACAGGCTCCCGTACCCAGCAGTATAGCTACTCTAGGTAAGCCCAGGAAGGCAGAAGAATAAAATCAGAATTAACCTAAATGCCTTTCATTAAGAGAATGTAGCAAGAGAGAAGGAAGAGAGGAAGGAAGGAAGGAAGAATGAACGGTAGGAAGGAAGGAAGGGAGGGAGGGAGGGAGGAAAAAACAATTACAGTAGTTTACTATGCAAAACCATGACTAGATTTCCTAGATCCAATGTTAAGTGAGAAAAGCATTGACCGAATGATCCGTAACCATTTGTTTGAACACACACACACACACACACACACACACACACGTACCCATTACAATGGCACATATTCCTACAGGTTCTGTGTGTCGATGCATAGAAAAATATCCAGAAGGCTATATGCCAAAGTACTAACAGTGATGATTAACCCTGCAGAGGAGGCTGGAATGTTGTGGTTATCCAGGGAGAGAATACTTAGCTGTTTAAATAATATTTGACGTTTTTGCAACGAAAAGGTACTTTTGTATATTCCATACACGATTAAAACTTAGTAAAACAATATAAGAAAAGACACGGTGGGCTGCCTGGGGAACCAGTGAACTCCCTGTCCCTGGAAGTATGAAAGCATCCACACTGGGGTGGAGGGATTCGAAAAACCGTGAAGAAAACAAGGGTAGGTGGGTTAGCTGGCCCTTCGGAACCTCAGAGCCTTATCAGGGCAGTAGGAGCAAAGCCCTTATTCTTCCTGCACCAAGAGTGGCTTTAAGGAAGCACAGAGCATCGGACGCTAGAGGAGGGAGAGGCCGTGGACCCTCACTGTGACTTGGGCAGAGACGCACAGGCCAGTCTCTCCACCCCCCTTCCCTCCCAGGGACTCCTAGCTCTAGGCTCTCAGTCCCAGCAGCCCCCAGCCACCGGCCAGCATGCCTAGTGTTAGCCTCAGACTCCCAGCGTAGGGGCTGTGTCTCTGGGAGGACCTCACGCTGGGGACAAGAATTCAGGACAGAAGGAGGAGAAGAAATGCTCATAAAGCTGACTGCCCCTGTGACACCGAGCCCAAGCCATGGCCATGGCCGTGGCCACATGGTGAGCCCTAATCCACAACAGGCTGAGCCCCAGCCCCAGCCAGCCTCTGACCCCCGACAATATAAAAAGCAAAGGTCAATGAAGCTCTTACCTCACCTGGCAAGACAGCAGTGAGATCGAGACAAGAGCCAAGAGACATGGGTCTGAGTCCCAGCACCTGCCCTTGACTTCTCCTAAGAGACCCTGACAAAGTCACTGAGCCCCATGGCACCTCAACCCTCTCCTCTGCACAATGGGCGGAGGGTGGCTAACTCCCAAGCCGGCTGCGTAGCTCAAATGAGACATCGTCCACATAGTCTCTTTGTGGGCTCCCACAAAACGTACGGCCCCATCCAGGCCACGGATACAGGGCACTGAGGAACGAAGGTGGCCACGACGGAGCTCCAAAAGCAGCTAGACTTGCTGCAAATCTGAAGCCCAGAGGCAGCCAGAAAGGGGCCCGTTTGTGGCCCCAGGCAGGGACCAGGAAGGAACACACAGAAGGATCCTCCAGGCGGACAGAGACAAGGACGCGCGAGGAGACAGGAGTAAGTCTGAAAGAGCAGAGGAGCCTTTCTTGGCCACTGTCCTGGGCCAAGGGCCAGGGTGCTCCGAGAGGGCAGGGAGCCACTGGCAGGTGCCAAGGAAGAGTGCAGTTTCTACCTGAAACTGGGGGAGGGGACTCCAGGAGCCAGGCCAGTGAGTCCTTGCCTCACCGATAGCCAGGGAACTGGGGCAGAGGCAGGTGACAGATCCGCAAAAGGAAACCAAAGGAGGAAGAGCAAAGCTCAGTCACAGAGCAGCCATGACCGGCTGCAGTGGGCCAAAGGGCCGGACTTGCCCTTGGGCCCGGGGCATAGCCTTGGAGGATCTGGTCTGGGAGAGGGGCCACTGAGAAGCAAGGAGGTCCCACCTGGTGCTCACAGTGAAAAGCGCCAGCTCTGGGCAAGGCTGGCAGCAGCATGAAGCCTGAGGGAGGGCTGCCCCAGAGTCTCCCTCTGCCACCCCAGGGGGACCCTAGGGCCGTGGCAAGTATTGAGTCCAGTGTGGGACCAGCCCAAGGCAGAGAGAGCCACAGAGGTCCAAGGACTCAGGCCTTAAGCCTCCAGATACAACCAAGGCCACTGTCAAAACCAGAGCCCCTCAGGGACTCCTGGTCCTACAGCCAGCACCTAGGCAGGCTGCAAATCCCCGCACCCCCCCTTCCCCGGCCCCATCCCGCAGGATCCGGGGCAGCTGGACTCCCCGCTAAATGGCAGCCAGACAGTCCTGCCTGCCGCTGGCTTGGGGGCCCAGCCTACAGGGAGCTGCAGGGAGGGAGCAGGAGGCTGGGCCTCTCTGAACGGGGGGCCCCAGAAGAGGGTGTAGGTGGGGCGGGCAGGAGAGGGGCCTCCCACAGCTCTCTCTCCTCCCCACAGGCCAGCCTTCTCCCTGGACCTGTGGCCACACGCAGGCCCGGGCACACCACGGGCTGTTCCCAGCAGCCCCCAGACAGGGCGGGCTGGCTCCTCTCCTCCCCAGGCTGAGACCACCGCAGCGACACTCACCTGGCTAGCCCCGGATGGGACACCCACCGTCCGTCATCGCCTCAACCAAGAGTTCACTCCTCAAGCCACACCCGCAGGCCTCAGCCCTGACCCAGCAGAGGGTGGGTGCAGGAAGCCACTTCAGGCGGCTGTCCACTGTTCACCTCCTGTTCGGACCCCACGCCATCGCGCCCAGTGCCTGGTCAACCCCCCACCTCAGCCTCAGACCTCGGCCTTCCCTCCTCCTGCCCACATTCCCTGGCATGGCTCTGGACTCCTTGGGGGCGGCCGGGACACCCCCTTTGACAGTTCATAGCACGGTAGCATCAGGCAGCAGGGACACGAAGGCTCCATCATGGCCAGCCAGCCACGACAGGTGCCAACCCACTGACCGGAGCAGCCTGGGAAGGCCTGCTGCTCACACCTGAGGATTGATTGCCTGCCCGTCCAGCCAGAAGGGACCCAGGGGCCACCAGGCACCAGCAGAATCATGGGGCTGGCTGCCTCAACTGGGACAAGGATAGGCCGGCTCACCAACAACTTACCCCACTGGGCACCAAGAAACTGCCTTCCTGGAGGCTGAAGACCGAAAGGAAACACCACTTGGATGGCCCCTTCGGTCGTTTAAAGCACCTCCTAAGCTGTGACTTTATCTCCCACCTCAGGACCTCCGCCTCCAGAATAGTCTTCAAGTCCTGACTCAGCCTGGCATTCAAGGCCCTCCTGGTCGGGCTCCCAGAACTATCTCCTCTACCTTTTCGCAAACACCCAAGACCACGTCCCTGAACCACCCGATCCTCAGGTCGTCTGCCTTTGCACATACTGTTCCCAGGGACCGAACTTTCCTGCCTTCTTCCTCCACCTGGCAAACTTCTACTCTCCCTTCGAGGTCCAGCTCTATGTCGCTTCTTCCAGGAAGCCTAACGGGCTCGCCCTCTCCCACCCCTCCCCTCCCCGCCACATCCCTGAGCAAGTAGGGCACTTCCCACTTTCAATCACAGTTACGATCTGGGCCAGAGCTCCTCACGCTATTTGTGAAAGAGATTTTTTTTTTTTTTTTAAGTTTTCCAATCTGTTGCCAACTGATGCTTTTGTAAGTTACAATAAAGAATGACACAGCAATGTCAAGTTGCAGTAGGAGTTTTTCATCACTTACTCTCAATGTTGTACCTACCTCGCTGCACACCAGTAACACACAGCCCAGAGATGGGGAGAGGTCTAGCAGACCACCCTCTCTTTGGGTTCGGGGCCCATCGAATCATGTGTTTATGTTTGGTCCTCCAGAGCCCAAGGGGCACTCCCCGATCTGCTGTCCCAAATATTGGCCGGGAAGGGCCCAACAACCCTGTAACATGGGCAGCACCCGTGCTATGCGGCCCCATTTCTCAGACGAGCACACAGAGGCACAGAGAGGATGAGCGGCCTGGCCAACGCTGTACTTTCTCAGGACTACCCAGCATCACAGGGGCAGGTGCTTGGGCCCAGGAACTTTTCCAGCCGACCCTCCTTCCCAGCACAGCCGCCAAGAGCAGTTCCCGTGGAGTAACAGCGACGCAGCCCCACGCAGTAGAGAAGAGCTCAGCCTCCGGAATCAGACAGACCTGGGTTCAAGTCCTAGCTCTGCCTTTCACAGCTGTGTGGCCTTGGGTAAGTCACTTCACGTCTCGGGGCCTCACTTTCTTCTCTGTTAGTGGCGGCGAATAACACCGGCATGATCAGGTGGCACACTGCTTCAGGAAGGGCCCGGCCACACTTACAGGCTTCGTTCAAGTTTGGCTGTTGCTGGTGTTTACAGAG